CCTGCCAGTTAAAAGACAAGTATAGCCGCTATTGTGTAACATTAGCACGCGTGGCCTAATCGGTAGTGCCTTTGATTTCCGATCCAGTGGGCCCAGGTTTAGATCCCACATGACTCATATTTCTTTGATTTCATTATATGCCAAAAAATAAATGAATTCAATCCAATCAGATATAGCATAGGGAAACCAGTAAAGACAAATTAGTGAATAAATTACTATAAAATAATAATATGATAAATAATTGTGAACACAAGTATCACAGGTTCAAGTTTACAGGAAAGTGAGTGAGTGACTTAGTGAGTGACAGATTCTTCCCCCTCCAATAACTCTTCGATTGCTTCGCAATCTTCGAGTTAAAAACRACCTATTTTGAGCCGTGTTGAACCGTGGTTCAAAGCCATTKCAAGTCGTAGGTTACGTACGACTGTTGTATGTAGGTCATAGGGCCATTCACAAGACGCGATTTGAAGTCGCACGCGATAATTGTAACTAGTAAATAGGCTTTTAGCTGCATCTTATTATGGCTAAAAAATTACAATCTACATTTCTAGGTTTTCGCCTGGTAAACACCGCAATCGAAAATCACGCGGTAAGTTTTCCAGCTGAGTGTATCATGAAGTGTTCAGAGAACAAACTTTGCCAGTCCCTTAACTTCCAACTTGGAAACAGTGGAGTCAATTGTTTCCTTAGCAACAAAACAAGGCGATCAGCACCAGCAGAGGACTTCAAATCGACCCCTGGATACACGTATTATGAAAAGGTAAAATTAAAACTTGTTTTCACGAAGTGTGAATGGACTAGAGTGTTGTACATCCAACTMTCCCGTATTTAATCTTGCCAAATCCAGAAAGAAAGTTCGTTCAAGTCATAAGTTATGATAAAGATAAAATACTTTTTTTCGGTCGTCAAAATTCGATGTTTTCACTGTGAATACAGCATTAACTGAGAAAAAACTGCATTTTCAGGATCTGTGTGAGCCGAATCCTTGCTTGTTTGGTACTTGCCTCAAGGATAATAGCAAGGAGGGATTCMTGTGTMGTTGCGCGCCTGGTTACAGAGGATCGCTTTGTCAAACAGGTAGCCCCCAGTCACTAGGGTCAATACCTTATGCAACCCTTGACCTAATCCTATCTAACCATAATTATATACCTACTAAATAACCCTATATAGCTATAGCGAAACWCAATGTGACGTAAGCCTTTGTTATTCATGTGCCAACCAGAAGACGATTGGATGTTAGAATAAAGCGACTCGTGAAAAACCATTCTGATCATGGTTGGCACATGAGTATCGCWATAGCCATAACCCAAACCCTAACAAACTAACTTGCCTTTATACCGTTTTTTGCATGTGCTCTTTTGTACAACTATTTTATACGTACGTTATGCAGATAGCCACTCACTTTCTCTGCTATCGTGCGATTTCAGTATCTCGTAAGATGTCTTGTAAGGATATCAAGTCAAGTAGCAACGCCTCGCATGATGGGAAATACTGGATTGACCCAGAGGATTCTGGCAATGCAATTCAGGCCTACTGTGATATGAGTCACGATGGAGGTGAGGTCAWTGCAAGTTTGTTTCCTTCATTAAATGGCATCTTTTTATTTCAATTAAACGATTCCAGGCTATTGATTATTTATTTCCCTTTATTTTTTTAAATATGTTTTTGTGATTTCTCAAGGTGGATGGCTTTTGATCTCAAATATCATCCTACCAAATCCAGTCAGCATTCCATCACTGACATTGCGAACATCATATCGTGACATTGCCAATTACAATGATAAGAAAACCGTCATTTCAGCAACTGCATTGAGACAACTTCGTCAGTTCATCAATTTTACTCAGCTAAGATATCAATGCCATAGAGCAGTCCCCGGTCGCACTGTTAACGTGATCACAGCAGCAAACTCTAAAGGCTACGATGCTGTAGATTTCTTCACTGGA